ACAGGAGTAGAATTAAAGAGAATAATGGTGAGTCAAAAGCTAAATTTTTTACAGCTGCAATGTGTCGGGATTTTTGGCAGTTTGAATCCACCAGGTGCTCCTTGGAAACCCTATGGGGGCTCCTTGGAAACCACACTGACCCACTCTGTCTTACAGGGTCACTGTGAGTCAGAACCAACTCAACAGTAACAGGTTTGGTATTTTTTTTTTAATGATGGGTAGTAGATGGCATAATTTAATGGTGTAAAGCTTAGGGGTATTAGGAAGAAGGGATGAAGAATAATGAGAAAACAAGGACACCTACTCTCCCAGGTTCAATGGTATGAGAGGTAAGGGTCAACACTTGAGAGAACTGCAAGAGAATCAGTGTTCAAAGTAAGGGGAGAACCAGCATTCCATTAGAGAAGAAAGAAGGGAATGCTCAGAGACTAGATTGAGGATACAGGAGAATCTGCTGATAATGAACTATGAATTCCAGAAGATATAATGGAAGAGTTTTAGGAGCTGAGGAGGCATGAGAGAAAGAGACAGAACAGAGAATGTTCAGAGGTTTATAGGAATTAGAGTGAAGGAGATGGGGGAAGGGCTCTTGTGGTGACTGACATAGACAGGAATAAGGGATAATGAAACTAGTTCCAGTGAAGCCACGGCAGACAGAGACAGGGAGGCTGCAATTGTTAAGGGGTGAAGACGGTAGATTACTGGGGCTTACTCTCGACTCTGAATGATAGGAACTGAGGCGTAAGGCAGGCATAGTCTTAGTTCCACTATACTAATTTAAAATCAGTTAGATGATAAATAACAAATGTCATTAAAATATGCATACTCTTTAACCTATTAATCCTATTTCTAAAAATCTATACAGTATATATCTCAAGACTCAGCAATTCCATACCTATATATAAATCCTAGGAAAAAAATCTTTGTACATCTATAAAAAAGAATATGAGGAAGGATGTTTGTTGCAGCATTGACTATAATAGTAAGAAACAAAACAATCTAAATGCCTGTGTCAGTTTACAATTTAATGTCTCTTGGCTCCAAATTCAGTCTTTAATACCTGCTCAACGATAATGGACAAAATTCCTTATAGCATTTCTCCTTTACAGTGAGCACGAGATTAAACTTTCTCAACAGAGGGCGCTGGAAGCACACTGCAGGAGGAAGGGTCTCCTCTTGCTAGTTCCAGCAGCGAGCATCAATGGTGTGGGTGTGAAGACAAGCAGTGGTGCTCTGCTCCAGCTACATGCCAACAACCTTATAGCCCTGACCTGACCTGGTGAACACTTTTCCACAGTCCCCTCTACACAAACAGTGTTCCAGGTCTCCTGCTGGCACTGGTGCCCTGACTTCCTCTGCATGCCTGATCTGTCCACCACCCCTAGGTTTTCTCCCACAGCCTTCCTGAGGGATATGCAGTCTGGGTCTCCTGCCCACTCCCTCTGCATGGCTGCCCACTGGATGCAATTTGCCATGTGCACCAGAGGGTTGTTTCCTGATTGTCCAGTGAAAGTGAGCCAGCTTTGGCTTGGCAAACCAGCCAATACTCTGCCATCTCGTAGGCTGCAACTACACCTTCTCTAAGGAGGTATGAATGTAGCCTAGGGGAAGCGCCCTTCATCCAAGTTTGTTCATCCTTGGATACTCTACCTCAGCATCCCAAGTACCCTATAGAGTTCCCTTACATCTTAAAGTTACTCTTTTATCATAGTTTAATAATTCTTTAACTTTACCTGTTTAAATCACTATGAGGCTTCTGTTTCCTGACTGGACCTAGACTGATACAATGTTCATCAATAAGAAAATGAACAAGTAAATTATGGTACAGTTGTACAATGGATAACGCTAGGTAATAAAAATAAATGAATTAGGAAGGTTCCATTTCCAAGATGGTTGACTAAGTTACTACTGAACTGACCTTACTGTAGCTGTTACCTATTTATATATAAACCTGTTGCCTTTGAGTCGATGCCGAAACCATAGGGTTTCCAAGGCAGCTAGTGGATTCAAACGGTCAACCTTTTGGTTAGCAGCCGGGCTCTTAACCACTGCGCCACCAGGGCTCCTATTTTTTTTTTTTTATTTGTATTTTATTGTACTTCAGGTGAAGGCTTACAGAACAAATAGTTTCTCATGAAACAGTAGTACACATGTTGTTTTATGACATTGGTTAACAACCCCACAACATATTAACCCTCTAAATTCTCAACCTTTTTTTTTTTTTTGGTGAAAATACACATAGCCAAAGATACACTGTTTCAAAAATTTCTACATACACAGTTCAGTGACATTGACTACGTTCTTCCAATTGTGCTGTTATTCTCACTTAAGATGAAGGCTTACAGAACAAAATAGTTTCTCATTTAACAGTTACTACAGATGTTGCCCTATAACAATGGTTAACAATCTCACAACACATCAACAATATCCTTACTCAACCTTGGGTTATCACCACCTTTCTTGTCCCCTTCTGCCTTCTGGCCCTTGTCACTGGACTCCTGTACCTCGTTAGTCTCATTTGGTTTTACGGGGCTGTCCACTCCCAGGCTAAACAGTGAACCTTGGAGGTAACTTCACCACTGAGCTAAAAGGGTGTCTGGGGGCCATACTCTCAAGGTTTCTCCAGTCTCCTTTAGGCCAGTAAATCTGGTCTTTTTTTTGTGAGTTAGATTATGCTCTACATCCTTCTCCAGCTCTGTCCAGAACCCTCTGTTGTGATCCTGGTCAGAGCAGTCAGTGGTGGTAGCCGGGCACCATCTACCTGTACTGGACTCAGTCCGGTGGAGGTCTTGGTAGCTGTGGACAACTAGTCCTTTGGACTAATCTTTTCCTTGTATCCTGTTCTCTTCATTCTCCCTTGCTCCCGAAGGGATGAGACCAGTGGCGTATCTTAGATGGCCGCTCACAGGCTTTTAAGACCCCAGACACTACTCACCAAGGTAGAATGTAGAGCATTGTCTTTATAAGCTGTGTCATGCCAATTGAGCTAGATGTTCCCCAAGACCATGGTCCCCACAGCAGGGCTCCTATTTTTATATAGTAGATACTTAATGTTGAACTGAACTGTTTGGAATAAGTGGACCTATCTTCATATCAACAGGCCTCATATTATTCAACAGATTCAGAGTTAAACATGAAGTTAAAGGGTCTTAGCATTCTGTGGACCCAAAGTGAAGGACATACATGATTTGAGGATACAATCTGATGTCTAGTTTGACTGTATGGAACAAGTAGTGCTGCCTTTTTCAATATCTGGCTGGATTAGGCTTTCAGGTCAATTCTTCCTCCCAGATTTTCTGAAATGATTTGCGGGGAGATGATGATCATAGTTAACATTCGTAGACTATTAAGTATGTTACATATATTAACTCAAAGCTAGAGAGCACAGACCCAGGCAGGCTGAAAAGGCCGGATGGTGTTCTTAGCTCAAACAAAGTCACTTGAGTAGGGAAAGAATTAGTCCTAAACTCTAATTGCCAGGAATCTAAATAGACAGGAGCACAATCATCTCAGAGAGGAGCAGCCAGTAGTAATTACTGCCCAGTACTCACATTACAGTTGTGAGACTATGTGCAAGGTTTGGACATGCTAAATTTACTTCTATGTGATATAAAGGCCAGATCAGATGTACGCTAAGTTTTTACAAAGTTTCAGGGTAGGATGTGCTATTCAAACTAGTCTAGAACCCAGCCAATTTCCAGGTCCAAAGTACCTAAACACAATAAGAGCTTTGCTTTAAATGCCAAGTTGTCTCCAATTCCCTGGGTTCCCTTGTGCTCTTGGTGGTATCTTGTATGTGACAGTTAGTGCGTAAGATGTTTACTGACTCTGGAAAAGGGGCAGGGGCACAATGAATTATCTGGCCTCTATGCTCAGGGAATTTGAGCCCAGAAAGGTGAGAACCTTCTTCCATGGGCAAAGATCAGTCTCAGAATCGCCAGACTCAGGGTCCTCAGAAAACTACTCCACATGCACCTTTACTTTCTCCCTCCAAAGACTCAGTAAATTGTGAGCAAGGAGACAATCTCTGATCTGCTTTGATAAGCAGGCCTTTAGTATTGCTCTGGTACCGTTTTACTGACCATAGGTAGACAAGTTCAGGCTTAGAACAACAGTGCCCATGGCTTACCAAACCCAGGCAGCAAGCTCTGAACAGCTTCCTAGGGTTCCAAGCCTGCTCCTTTTCAATTAACCCTAGGTCTAGAACTTTCACTGTAAACAGTGTAGCAATGAACAGTGTAGCAGTGCAGCAGCCCCTTCAGAAAAGCTGGGCCCCTGATTTGGCTCCCTTGGCATAGAAAAATACATGTCTAGCCCAAAATATACAGCTAATTCTGCCCTTCCTCTGGCAGGCAGAGTGTGCCTGAAATCAATGCAAGCCTCAAAATTGTTATATATTCCTCAATCAGAGGCAAGTAAATCAACCCTTATACTGTCTGGAGGAGCCCATATTCTACAGAGCAGGGTCTTAATGTATGAGGTCATTTGCTTAATTCCAATATGTGAAATCAGTATCAACATGAAATATTCCTCTTGTTTTTGTCTTCTCCTGGTCTGATGGGGGAAAGCTAACAGGAATCCTATGAGGAAGAAAATTCTCTCTGTGAGTCCTGACCCTCGGGCATGGTAGGACAAAATGTTAATGGACCCCTCATCACATAGCCTTAAATGACTGGAGCCATAACATACAGTCAACACTCTAGAACAAAGGCCATAGAACCATGATACATACCTGACCCCCAAGATATGTATAAGACCAAAAGGAATGTTCAGAGGACAAGGTAAGAAACAACTAAGAATCAAAAGCAAACAGAACACATTCTCCTACAGAAAGCAAATGAATTCTGTATGCTTCGGTCAGCCAAGTGAAGTGACAATGTGATGTACTGAACTACACGAAGTAAGAAGCAGGAAAGAACAAATATTATCAGCTGTGCAGTAGCAACTGGACACCTGTGGCCATCCCTCCATTCCAGCTTTCTTAACCTTCACTCACTCACCTGTGTGGCCATGGAGTGGGGAGTGTGGCCGTGGAAGTGTGGGTGATGTGCTAGAGGTCACAATCAAGCTCTTGCGGTTACTTGTCCTACAACTGCAATGAAAACACAAATGTCAGTTATAACATGACAATACCATGGGCCTAGAGGTCTTGAGTGGCTATCCAGGAACAAAGGAATGATGCCATTTCATGGGCTTAGTGGTATATTACTTCAAATTCTGAACTGGGTCCGTAATTACTATTTCCATCAGTTAGATTTCACAATTCACTGTGCTCTATCTTGGAATAACGCTGTCTTGACTTTTGTATTGTCATTGCACCTTGCCATTGTTTAAGTTTTGCCTCCCAAATGGACACAAGGATCTCCCTAAGGGCAGCAAACATGTATTAAATGGTATCCAGTAAAGAATGACCAGATTTGATTCAGACAATTAAAAACACAAGCCATATTTGCATATCTCATAAAAATTAACGTTCTTGCCATAAAAAGAAAACTGTTAATCTAAGACATTTTTAAAACCACTTTTATCTTAATCAATGAATTAAGTAACATTCTCATTTCCCCATAAATTTCAGAACAAATACTCTCTATAAAGCTGGATTTCCATTACATGGTGATGCCTGAGGACTTTTTTTTTGTTTGTTTGTTTGTGGTTGAAGAAAACCAGATCATGATGAAAAGCCATTTCATGCAATACTTGCTACTGAAAAGTCTGTGTAAATGTATTTGAAAGCCACTCCATCTTTTAACGGCATTAGGGAAGATTGTCATTTATATTCATTCAAACAAATATTTATGGAACATCTACTATGCACCAGGCACTGTTCTAGGTGCTAGGAAGCAGTCAGGGAACAAAAGAAAGTCTCTGTCCTCATAGCTGGAGTGAAAAGTACTATGGAAAAAAAAAAAACCACAGGGTAAGGAAATAAAAGAGACTGGTGTGGAGGTGGACACGGTAGTAGTCAGGGCAGGCCTGACTAATGAGGTGACATTTGATCAGAGATTATTTGACACAGTCATAACTCTTTCCTCTTTTAAACATTCCATAAACTGCACAGATGTTAAATGTTCAGTTCAAAGAGCCTTGACGATTGTATACATCTATGTAACGACACCCAAAACAAGAAACAGAAAATTTCTATTACCCCAGAAAGTTCCTTTGTGCCTCTCTCCAGTCAACTAACCACTGTCTCCCAACCACTTTCTGACTTCTATGTCAATATATTAATTTTGTTTGTTGTTGGATTTCTTATAAATGGAATTATACAGTGTTATGAATTTAATTATGTCCCCCCTAAAATATGTGTTGGAATTCTAATTCCTATACTTGTGGATGTAATCTTGTCTGGAAATAGGGTTTTGTTATGTTTATGAGCCCATACCAGTGTCAGGTGTGTCCTAAGCCTAATCACTTCTGAGTTATACAAAGACCAGCATAGACACAGAGACATATGCACAAATGGAAGAAGACAGACACCATGTGAGGACTGTCTACAAGCCAAGGAACCGAGGAAAACCCAGGGCTACCAACAAGTATTGATATAGCCAAGACCTTGATTTTGGACAATTAGCCACTAGAACTGTGAGAAAATAAATTTCTGTTCTTCAAAGCCATCCATTTGTGCTATTTGTGTTATAGCAGCACTAGGTAACTAAGACATACGGTATGTGTTTTTTGGTGTCTGGTTTCCTTTGCTCACCATAATGTCTGTGTAACTCTTCTTTACTTAGTTTCTAGGACATGATGCTTTCCTGGTTTTCCTCCTACCTCACTAGCTGCTGCTTTTCATTCACCGTTGCTGGTTCCTTCTCTTCCTGACTTCTAAATGATTCAGTGCTCTGGGGGTCAGACCTGAAATGTTTTCTCCTCTACTTACACTCACTTTCTAAATAATTTATTTCAGTTTCATAGCTTTAAATGCGATCTAGATGATGATTACGTATATTTGATGATTAAGATAACGATGACAACAGATTTCTCATCAGAAAAAAATACAAACCAGAAGACAGTGAAGAAACATCTTAAAGTACTGAATCTACAATTCAATATTGAGAGGAAAAAGGTAGGCAAAATAAAGACTTTTTCCAGGCATATAAAAGCAGAAGGAAAATGATACCAGATGAAAATCTGGATCCACACAAAGGAAAAAGAAAAGCACAAGAAACAGTAAATATGTGGGTAATAGAAATCACTTGATTTTACTTTTTAAATCTCTTTAAAGGATAACTGACTGTTTAAAGAAATATAATAATAATGTATTGTGAGGTTTACGACATACGTAGATGTAAAATGTAGGACAACAATAGCACCAAGGCTGTCAGGGAAGAAATATAAGTATATTGTTGTAAGACTCTTATATTAAATGTTATGGAAGCTAAACTGTGACAAATTAAAGATATTTATTATAAATACTAAAGCAACTACTAAAAAAACAAAAATAAATAAGTTTAGCTAATATGCCGACAAAGGAAATAAAATGGAATCACGAGAAATACTCAATCCAGAAGAAGGCAAATAAAGAAGAAAGGAGGAACAAGCACAGATGGGCCAAATAGAAAACAAATAGCAAGTGAGATTTAAACCCAATTACATCAATAATTACATTAAATTCAAATGTCCTAAACACATACCAAACTAAGGCAGAGATTTCTGGACTGGATATTTTTGCCACACCAACTACATGCTGTCTATTATTTGTAATAGCCAAAAACTGGACATCACCCCAAATATTCACTGACGAATGGGCAAACAAATCATGGTATTTCAACAAAATAGAATACTACTCAGCAATAAAACAGAATTAACTATTGATTCACACACAACATGGATGAATCTCAAAATAATTACACTGAAAGCAAGAAGCCAGACAGAAAAGTACACACTATACAATTCCATTTATATAAAATTCTAGAAAATGTTAACTAATCTACAGTGACAAAAAGCGGACCAGTGGTTGTCTGACTGAAGGCAGGGAATGGATTACAACAAGGCCTGAGGAAACTTTTGGGAATGACAGGTATGTTCATTATCTTGACCACTAACAGTTTTACAGATTTATGTTGTTGTTGTTGTTGTTAGGTGCTGTCAAGTTGGTTCCGACTCACAGGGACGCTACGTACAACAGAACGAAACACTGCCCGGTCCTGCACCATCCTCACAATTGTTATGTTTTAGCCCATTGTTGCAGCCACTGTGTCAATCCATCTTGTTGAGGGTCTGCCTCTTTTTCACTGACCACCTAACTTTACCAAGCATGATGTCCTTCTCCAGGGATTGGTCCCTCCCAATAACATGTCCAAAGTAAGTGAGACGAAGTCTCGCCATCCTTGCTTCTAAGGAGTATTCTGGCTGTATTTCTATGAAGACAGATTTGTTCATTCTTCTGACAGTCTATGGTATATTCAATATTCTTCATCAATACCATAATTCAAATACATCAATTCTTCTTCAGTCTTCTTTATGCATTGTCCAGCTTTCCCATGCATATGAGGCAACTGAAAACACCATGGTTTTGGTCAGGTGCACCTTAGTGCTTAAACTGACATCTTTGCTTTTTAACACTTTGAAGAGGTCTTTTGCAGCAGATTTGCCCAATGCAATGCGTCTCCTGATTTCCTGACTGATGCTTCCATGGGCGTTGACGGTGGATCCAAGTAAAACGAAATCCTTGACAGCTTCAATCTTTTCTCTGTCTATCATGATGTTGCTTATTGGTCCAGTTGTGAGGATTTTTGTTTTCTTTATGGGGAGGTATAATCCATACTGAAGGCTGTAGTCTTTGATCTTCATCAGTAAGTGTTTCAAGTCCTCTTCACTTTCAGCAAGCAAGGTTGTGTCATCTGTACTTCGTAGATTGTTAATAAGTCTTCCTCCAATCCTGATATCATAGTCTTCTTCTTATAGCTCAGCTTCTCGGATTATTTGCTCAGCAAACAGAATGAATAGGTATGGTGAAAGGATACAACCCTGATGCACAACTTTCCTGATGGTAAACCACGAAGTACTCCCTTGGTCTGTTCACACAACTGCCTCTTGGACTATGTACAGGTTCCACACAAGCATAATTAAGTGTTCTGGAATTCCCATTCTTTGCAATGTCATCCATAATGCATTATGATCCACACAGTCAAATGCCTTTGCATAGTCAATAAAACACAGGAAAACATCTTGCTGGTATTCTCTGCTTTCAGCCAAGATCCATCCAACATTAGCAACAATATCCCTGGTTCCACGTTGTCTTCTGAATCCGGCTTGAATTTCTGGCAGTTCCTTGTCGATATACTGCTGTAACTGCTTCTGAATGATCTTTCACAAAATTTTACTTGTGTGTGATATTAATGACATTGTTTGATAATTTCTGCATTCGGTTGGATCACCTTTCTTTGGAATGGGCACAAAGATGGATCTCTTCCAGTTGGTTGGCCAGATAGCTGTCTTCAAAGCTTCTTGGCATAGGAGAGTGAGCACTTCCAGTGCTGCATCAGTTTGCTGAAACATCTCAATTGGTATTCCGTCAATTCCGGGGGCCTTGGTTTTTGCCAATGCTTTCAGTACAGTTTCGACTTCTTCCTTCAGTACTACTGGTTCTTGATCATATGGTACTTCTTGAAATGGTGGAATGTCAACAAATTCTTTTCGGTACAGTGACTCTGTGTATTCCTTCCATCTTCTTTTGATGCTTCCTGCATCATTTAGTATTTTCCCCGTAGAATCCTTCAATATTGCAACTCAAAACCTGAATTTTGTCTTCATTTCTTTCAGCTTGAGAAATGCTGAGCGTGTTCTTCCCTTTTGGTTTTCTATCTCCAGATCTTTGCACATCGTTATAATACTTTACTTTGTCTTCTTGAGCTGCCCTTTGAAATCTTCTGTTCAGTTTTTACTTCTTCATTTCTTCCTTTTCCTTTAGCTACTCAATGTTCAAGAGCAAGTTTCAGAGTCTCTTTTGACATCCATTTAGGTCTTTTCTTTCTCTCCTGTCTTTTTAATGACCTCTTGCTTTCTTCATATATGATGTCCTTGATGTCATTCCACAACTCATCTGGTCTTCAGTCATTACTGTTCAACACGTCAAATCTATTCTTGAGATGG